ACGTCGCTCAATTAATTGTAGTTAACTTTGATAACATTTTCGCTATTGTGACATTTGCTTAAAATAAATTTTCGGACGTCTTAAAACTACAGCGGATTTTTTGGCACCCAATTTATTTCATATGCTCATTCATTAAAGAGCTATGTCGGCATCCTGTATACATTATTCGATTTATTTTATTTGATATTGTCGTTACAAGTGACTGGCTTTTGCTTGATATCCCCTGTGTGGCTGTGCATATTGACAAGGCGTCTACCTGTCTATTATCCACTACGTCGTCCATACCGGCTCTAGGAGACAGTTGGTCGTTGCTGCTGGGGACTGGGTGCACGGTTCTGGTGGCCGTGTTAGGATCAGAAAGTAGTTCCATGCACTCAGTGTAGAGCGGACCACGGCCTAGCCATCACCTTTTGTACGCTTGATTCCCAAATACAGCGTGATTGTGTTTGCCTGTGAAGGAGTGTGGGCCGGCTCCGCTGATGAAACGTGCTCCCATCCACAAGCTTCCCGGTCTTATTCCTTCGGGTTTACACTGGATATAGTGTGTATGGTTGGAGCTGTGGGTGTTGCAGCGCAAGCCACCCATGGTCACTCTGTAGGCGCCGGCCGCCCTGTAGCTGACCACAATGACAGGCAAGTCGGGAACCGGATATATATATATATATATATATATATATATATATATATATATATATATATATAACTTGGCATAAGTCACTGCAACTCTGCCAGTAGACTAATCTTTCAGGAAGAATTCACTATAGGAATTTTCAGCGTCACACGCATTTTCTCTTCTATGGCGTAGCCCCAATATACGTGCAATTTCTACTTCGCCAGTAAGATGCCAATAATTTAAACTTTCTTACTCAATGCAGTCTGATCGTTTATCTTTAATGGATTTCGGAAGAAGATACTTTACTTCTCAATTATCGAAACGGAGCGTGGTATACACAACAGAAACTGCCGACGTTTGGGGGTGTGTATGGCTGGTGAGACTGCGAATAGCAGAACCTTCATTTACATACATATCAGGGACAACTTGCAGCTTCCGAGTATACTCTGGCTCCATCTGTAAAAGAATTTTGAAACCTTTTATTTCCTAACACTTGTTGGACGCAAATATTTATCTGGGAATTGTTCGGCTGTCTTGCTACATAAATCAATTATCATATCAATCACTCCAAATCTTGTTACTCTTTATCATCCATAAAATTATTTCTGATCAGCTTACGATCCATGTAATATACACTACTGCTCCTTCTTGGTCATGCTTGAATGGCGCATGATGCATAGTCGGGAACGAAACTTTATTTTTTAATTACAATCACAGGTATTCTAAGACTATCTGTTTATCCGTCTTAAATTTTTTACTTATGGGAATTTTTGCTGATGGGACCTAACAACAGACGTTTAGGTATCTTGGTTTGTAGTTCACGATTAAACGGCTAATACGTTACGAGCCGTAGCAAATAATGCGTTTTGTCATCGTGTACCGCGAAACTTGATGAAGATGATAACGCCACTATTACAACACGTTTTATACACATTTGGTTGACACAATCAGTCGAGTTCCACGACTGCATCTACGTTTATTTGAAGTCAAGTTTCATGGGGCATGTGGCATACTGATATCGAAGTGAAGATAACCACGACAAGCTACTATACTTTTGAGATATAATTTTCTAAAGTTTGATCAGACATGGGTATAAGCATAATAATTACGCTCCTGCTTCGAAGATTTTTGGTTGGATACACTTGGTAACGTTTATAGGCCGGCATCCATGGCGTTTGTGTTGTTTTCCGACTCTCATCTTCCCAGTACGCCACTTGGCGCCCCCCATCATCAACCCAGCGCTGGTCACAAATTGACCACATAGCTACTAGTCGCAGGTGACGCGGCAGCGTACGCGACTGCCAATCATTCTGGTCAACATGCGTCCAAACCGGTCATGCACTGGCATGTGCCACCGTTTGCATGCGTTTCGGTGGTTCGCCTAGATCAAAACACACCCGACTGAACACCTACAAGTTGGAGGACCCAATGGCGAAGAAGGAGTATCGACGAAGGCTTCGTGGAAATCTCGCTCTGTCTCACACTGTGGATGTTGATCAACACTGGTCAAGTCTGCAACAAGCCTTGCTGTCGGCCGGTTTGTACGGCTGTGACCTCGCTCGCTCCACTCCCAAAAGCTGGATCCCGGGATGATCCTCGGAATTGCTGGATCGTCGACGGGCGGTGCCTGCTTGCGCAGAGTACAAGGAACACCGCCGGTCTATTACGCAACAGCTGAAAACAAGCCTTCACTCTGATCGTGAATCTTGGTGGTCAAAACAAGCTAATGAGATGGGAGCCTCTGCATCAGCTGGCAACTTCCGCCTTCTATATTACATCATCAGGACCACCGATTGCAATTCCCACGCTATCAGACAGACGATTTCCGAATCAGACGGCACGAAGATCACCAATCTTCACAGACGATTGGGTCGCTGGACAGAGCTCTTTAATTCAACCACACAACACAGCCCCCTGTGACACCCCCAGCCCCAGTGGATGATGCTTGGCCTGCCTCCACAGCCCCTCCCCCAAAATGAAGCAGAGATTCGAAATGCAATCCAATCTTTGAAACGCCATAAGGCTCAGGGTCCCGACAGCCTACCACCGGCTCTATTCAAAGATGGCGGGAGTGTACTTGTCAGCGAAATCCTATCGCTGTTCACGAAACTTTAGGCTGAGGAAAAGGTTTCGAACTCATGGGGAGAATCGGTCATTGTTCCGATTCACCAGAAGGGCTCCCGCGACGATTGCTGTAACTACCGCGGAATCTCGTTAATCTCTGTCGCATCCAAAATCTTCGTGTCGGTCCTACTTCGCAGGTTTTCGACGACTAGAGAGGAGTTTTCTCGAGAAGAACAAGCCGGATTTCGTCCAGACCAAGGCCAAATCTTCGCGCTTCGCCAAGTTCTCGAACTTCGTCACATCCACCGGCGGCCAACAGTCGTAGTGTTTTTGGACATCCGAGCGGCATTTGATTCAATAGACAGATTTGCGTTGTGGAATTGTTTAATGAAGCAAAGTGTACCCGAGAAGTTCGTAACCATCCTGAAAGAACTTTACAGTCACACGTCGGGCAAAGTTAGGGCTTACGGCACGCTCTCTTCTTCATTTGCTGTGACCAGCGGTGTTCGCCAGGGTTGCCCTATTTCACCTTTCCTCTTCAATTTCGCCATCGAAAATGTTGTCCAAAGAACACTGGAAGGTGTCCATGACTGCGGTGTTGAGCTCCTCCCTGGAGAGAGAGTCACGGACTTGCACTACGCCGATGATATCGCCCTGCTGGGTGACGACCCACAAACCGTCCAGAGCGCTTTGGACTGCTTAGCGATGGAGGCGTCTACGTACCGCTTATGCTTCACTCCGGGAAAATGTAAAACGCTGCTCCGGGACTGGCAGGTGCCTAAACCCGCGCTCACCATTGCTGTACATGTTCTGAAGCAAGTCCCTTGCTTTACTTATCTAGGGAGTTGCATCACGGCTGGTAGCAATGTTGGAGATGTAGTCTCACAACGGATTGCAAAGGCCCGCCTTGCATTCATCAAACTTAGACACCTATGGCTTCGTCATGATGTTAGTCTCAAGCTCAAGGGCAGGGTGTAAAATGTTTCCGTCCGTGCAGTACTCTTGTACGGCTGTGAGACTTGGCCTATTCGCTCGGAAGACATGAAGCGGCTGTCAGTCTTCGACAATCGCTGTCTACGAAGGATTGCTCGGGTGTGGTGGTAACACCACGTAAGCAACGCAGAGGTGCGAGACCGCGTGCTTGGAGCGAGTAGTGCCAGTCTTCAGGACGTTATTCTCCGACATCGCATGCGTTGGCTCGGACAGGTTTTGCGTATGCCAGCCCATCGCCGTCCACGTCGAGCGCTATTTGCACTCCCAGGAAGCGATTGGAAAAAGTGCCGCGGTGGACAGCCAGTGACGTGGAGAAGGAGCATGAGAAAGGCAACCTCATGTTTGGCAGCAGTCAGACCAGTTCGTCTTCCAGGTTGGGGACAACGAGATGCTGAATCGCAGTGGTTGGAAACATTAGACGTCATGGCCAGCAACAGACATCAGTGGTGTCAATGTTGTTCTGCCATTATATCCCCCGTTTAATACTCACAAAACAAAAACTTCAAAATGGCGTGTGTAAAACCAAAAAAGCCGTTTCCCATTTTTAATCGCACTTCGTGTTGCCTTCCTCTGATTTTTTTCTGCCATGGTTCTGATGGCACAATGTCTGTTAACAGACTGAACATATATATATATATATATATATATATACCACTTCAACCACGTCTTCACACTTGCTTCGGAATATGACACTAAGTATAACTGTCTTCTTTTCCTAGATTGCATTCGTTGTATTGTATTCTTTTCGTATCTTGTTTTGTGGCGCGTTTGATGAGCTAACGTACGATGATAATCTTGCGCAGTGCTTTTGTGTGGAATTCGTTCTCTTCCTCTATATTCGTTTGATTTTGTTTGATATATGTTGACTAATGAAAGGTGGCAAATACATATGCGTGAAAACAGGTAAATGTGTTAAACTATGGCAGAACAAATTATTGAAGAGAACACGGAATCGTTCTGATATTGTGACGTCAGCGTGCGTTTTGGGCAGTAAGTATGGAAGTCTCAATGGAGAAAATGTCGCGGGTATGTCTAGTGCGATTGATGCTTACGGACAGTTTCATCTCATTATAAAATTCCCTTGGATCTCTGTCGTAAGATTTGATTTTAATTTCGTGCTTTAAGCTGGTAATTTTTATACGGCATCCTTCCTTAACGTACTGGCGGATGTGCCTTTCCTGTGACAGCGCGTGCTTGCGATACCTCAGTTGCTGTCCTCACGTTCTTACTGCCATACCGTATGTGCAACGTCGGCTTACTATCGCGTTTCTTATCGTTCGTTACTTTTTCCTGCTTTTCGGCACGTTTCGTTTTCTCGTTCCTGCTGCAGCCATTTTGTTCTGATTGGTGCTTTTCGGCCGCTCGTCATGTTCGTAAACAAATTTCGAAGGAACCTGCTTGGTGCCGCACTGAGCTGACTTGCACAAATTTGACATTGCTACCTAGATCCGCACGTGCCCATCCAGGAACACTTGTTTTGGATGCCCTCAACCGGCTGCGATTATCATCAGACACCTCAACAAGTGAGGAGGAAGAAGATGAATGTCCGTCGCATTCAGCCATTTCAGAACCTGATTCAGATGACAATAGCTCCGCCAAGGATTACGCGGACCGGGACCATAAGCGATTCAATGCTAGTCCGATTTCGAAACAACTTCCAGCCGAGACTTTGTGGGGTGTCCAAGTAGAACCTCCCGCGAATCTTGTGATTGTGCAGCAGCGGTCCCCTGTGCTACCATCGACCACTAAAGCGATCACATTTTCCTATGCAAAGGAGCGGCTGCCAGAACCGACTAACGTTGATCTGTTCAGTAGAGTCAGGTGCCGGTTTTGCCAGTGGCTCTCATCGAGGGCTTTCGCGGCGTTGACTCGCCTCGAACATACAAATCTTACTGGAGCTACAAAGGACAATGTATCTGAAGATCCAAGGTCGCCGGTAATTTCGAAAGTTTTAAGTCCGTTGCATGGACCAGTGTCGATGCCCTAACCTAGTTAATATCTAAATGTCCATTTATTTAGTCTATTCTGGAGATGTATCTCGAATTTACCGAAATCACCGTTGGCGTACCCTCTTCCCAGTTACTTATCGTCTTTTGTGTTTTCTTTCTCTCACACTTATCTAGTAAAAAGCTGCCCCCGACTCCGCACCTAATGCTCACCATGTACTTAAATCGTCAGAGCGAGAGTCCAGTTGGTTTAGCTTGTATGAAAACCCCGCTCCAAGTGGGAAATTGGTTCATTTGTGCTGACTTAACCACTGTGTAGATCATCTCACGTGTTGGCTTGGTCCGCTGCTTTTTGATTTCCCACCTATCCATGAAGACGGCGAGGTATTAGCCCATCATTCAGAAGCATAGTGAGCAATCATGCATCGAGGCCGATGTTACTTAGTAAATAGTAGTATGGCAGCGTGGCACCGAAGAAATTGAGAATCTAGTCATTTTCTATTGCCATCGCTTGTGGATCATTGTTCATATCTGTGGAGCGTGCCACCACCATTTTTTGTTTATTGGAATTGAACATTCTATATTCCCAATGTCATGCCCTACATATATTTGCACCCCAACAATCATTGCTTTCGATTTAGGAAACGTTCATTTCGGTCGTCGGATTGTGGATGGTAGGATCGTGAGCGAAGTGGTGGATGCGGTCACGGTGCCATGACACTAAAAATGTTGAAGACGTGTGCTGGATACTATGGAGCCTTGGAAGCCAATCCAAAGTGGTCGTTGGGGTCACAGAGTTGATGGCCACTTGTTCAGGCCATTTGGTGTAAACATCAACCAGGATTATAAAGATGTCATTCATTGCACTAGCATAATCGCTGAGCATGCGGGACCGGGCTTTTTATTCTGACATCCAAGAAACTATAGTGATTGCTGTTACGTCATCTTGACTGTTTGTTGAGGGAACAGGTGACCGCTACCTTACTTTTCTCGCCAATGTCAAACATTATTGTTCTGGTGACAAGTCTTGGCATAGGAGATCTACCGCCCTTTGATGTTCGGATGGCGATTTTTTAACCGAGCCGAACTGAACTTACTTTAACTTCTCTCGAGATTGGTTCACCATCAGTATGCCCAACAGTTACGGCCATTCACTGTCGATACACAACTCACGAGCAAGCTTATACATACTGGTTAGCTAGTTGACAGGAGTTGCTTCCCTTGCCCTTTGTTCAATTAGATTTTTACACCTTCCATTTGCAGCCTTCTGGATCTAGCGTTTTACCGCTAGTTGACTCTGTGTCCGTTAACACCATCAGGCGACAGCTGTTAATGGAAGAATTACTCCCCAGGTATCTGCTTCCTTCCACACTTTATTCGATTACTTCCTTTGTTTGACATCTGTTGTGACTGAAATCGAATCTCTTCTTTCGACGTTTCACTTCAAAACGCACTTATGTTGTTTGTATTGCATTAAAGTCACTCATTCACTCGGGTCTCCGGCTGTCATGACTGCATTGTATTCTTAAGTCGGAGTAATCGGTAGATACAATTTAAAATCTCGGACATCGCCATACGATATCCGAGCAGAGTGATAGTTTTTGATCTAAAAGTTCACGTAACACTTCCTTTATCCGTAATTCGTTGCCTTTCCTGGAAAACGTTTCTCAATTGTTATTTTGCGATAAAAATTCGCATACAAGCTTTTGCGACCATATGAGAGATCAGCGGCATCCTTTTCTTTGGTTGTACTTAACCGTGATAACGAATGGTCACAGTACGATTGTTAAACGTTGGATCCTCCCTAGCCACTTCATTGTTCGATTGAACAAATGTTGGCATGTCGCAACCGATGTATTTTTTAGGCTTCGACGAAACAGTACAGGTGTAGTATGAAATGCGCGCACACACCAAGTGTATGCACACGCATGCGTAATACGAATGCCTGTAGCGTTCTTGGCTCCCTGTTTTTTCGAGCTTCCTGTGGTCGCATATGCTCTTGTACATGCTGAGATTGTGAGTGTATCTGTTCGTTGGCATTTACGGTTATCAATGACCGTTTGCACGGAAGGTGGTCAAATTAAATTGTGGGGACGCATTTGACCGACAGTGTCAGTGCAGCAGGAGTCTAGTGAAAAGCTGGATGTTCCACATGTTCGCGAGCGGACGGTGGCTAATATATCCCGGTACAAAGCCATCAAACAATGGTTCGTCCATGCGAAGGCCTCAGCGTTCCGTTTTGACTATATCTGGGCGAATAGATGAGATGGCTCAGAACAGAAAGTACCTTAGCTACATTACTACAGTCCAGAAAATTTTCATTACAAGTAGATGAATCTACTTTACCCGACAACGCTCTCCTCGTGATATATGCCCGATTCTTCAAAGATAATGAGATAGCAGGTAAGATACTGTTTGCCAGGAGAATTAAAACTCATACAAAGGGTCAGTCTATATCCGAGGTAGTTAATAACTATCTGAGTGAAAACTCCATTCCATTATAGAACATAGTTGCATGTGCAACAGATCGCGCTGCCACGACAGTAGGAAGATATAAAGGATTTATTGCTGCAAAAAATATTCTCCCTTCTGTTCACTATTCACTTTGTGATTCATGGAGAGCACCTAGTGGCTAAGAACTTGGGAGGACGCTTAAACGATTCACTCTCAACTGTTATAATAGTAGTCAACAATATCAAATCGCATCCTCTTCAAGATCGTCTTTTCTAGCAGTTGTGTGAGGAGAACAGTGAAGATTTCCAGATTTACTTGCTACATACATGGGTCAGATTACCCTCCAAGTGCAACTGTTTTCGCCGTTTTTTTGCACTTTGGGATACCGTCATCTGGAACTGATTATTAATGAAAACTGTCAACAGCTAAGCCAGACGTGTTTTATCTGGCTGATTTTTTTTGAAAAACAACTTAATAAGTAAAACTTTTCAAGGCAAGTTGATTACTGAGTACTCTCATCTCGAGTAAAACCATTATCGTTTTACTTAAAAAGCTGGAAACGTATACTCAACATATCAGACGTCGGGAATTTTCACAGTTCCCAATTTCCGCAACAGTCACGGAGTCGCCGAAGAATAAATACTTGATTGTTCTTGTTACAAACGTCCTAGTTGGGTTTCGACTGTCCTAGTCAGTACGGACCAACTCCTTCACTCGTTGTTCCCCTCGCGCAGAGTAGCTTAGACGATTCGTATTGGAACGACTGGTAGACGTGAACTCGTAATTGAGAAGGTAGATGTGACGCTTAGACGCTGCACAACTGTACCGAGACCCGCAGAAGGAAGACTGGCCAATAGTAAGAGTGTTTTACTGACTCAACCAAGGCAAACGTGCTTTTTACACCTTCATATTTATACTGCACTAAAATCCCGATTTGGATTTTGGATCCATTTGGTGTACAACTTGGCAGTTTTGGATTTAAAATCCAGGAAAGTCTCATAGAGCTTCAAAGTAACATACTAGCAAGATGTAAACCCAACGCAATATAATAAGAATTTTAGGATAAAGACTGATGCCCTTAACAGATATCCCGGACTGTGGGAAGCAGCTGAAATACATTTCCTTGTTTTTCCATCCACATACTAGGTTGAATGTGGATTCAGCAGAGCGGTTTCTCCAACAAAATGTGGTAACAGATTGTGTAAACTATAAACTATCTCCGGGCATAAATGGGGTGGTTTCGATACTGTTGAGACTTTAGGCACATCACAGTTGCTGAGTGTGCTCGGTGGCTAGGGCATTAGTATGAACACGGCTCAGGAGGCAGACTGTTGACATGAGGAGAGTCCGGGAGATACGATAGTGAGACTGGGTGGAGTTTACTGGAAATTGTGCGGGATACGTTGGCCGTGTTCTAACTGAGGACAACTCCGTTGTGATCTGTGCAGATGATTGGACCCTTAGCAGCAGTTTCCGTAGAGAAAGCTCCCCTCTGAACTGAGTAGTTTGAGTCTCTGCATTGCGACCGTGTTGTTCGGGTCCGATAGTGCACTAGCGCCGGTGAACTCCATTAAGTTTGGCACGGTTGTGCCAGCCCTGTATCAGTTCATGCCAGTGATTCATGATACATAGGAAAAAATATGAAAGACAGGTTTCATGACCTGATTGACACGGAAATCCCGATTTGGATTTCGGATCCATTTGATGTACAACCCGGCAGTGTTGGATTTAAAATCCAGGAAAGTCTCACAGAGCTTCAAAATGCCCCGCTGTCAGGATCCAAAAATCATGCAATATAAAAGGAATTTTTGGATAAAGACTGATGCCCGTAACAGATATCCCAGGAAACGGCTGAAATACATTTCCTTGTTTTTCCATCAACATATTTGGTTGAATGTGGATTCAGCAGAGTTGTTTCTCTAACAAAATGTAGTAACAGATTGGACATCACAGCAAGAGAAAATCTTCGACTCTCGCTGTCAAGTCTGGAGCCGGATATAAGCAAGTGTGGTGACAGAACGGCTTCCATTGAGCAGTGGCGTGCCTCAAGGAACTGTACTTGGGTCAGTATTATTTCTTATTCATATTAATGATCATCCGCAGCAACTCCAATTACCATGTGCCCTGTTTACAGATGATTTGAAAACCTGGAGGATCATTAAGAACCAGGACGACTGCGCTCGCCTCCAGCATGACTGAGAGCGACTGTCAACGTGATCCACTGAAATGCAACTCCCACTTAACGCAAGCAAGTCGGAGTGTATCAGTATCGAGGGAACCATGTAGTTTCAGCGGAGTAAAGTATGCCTGCGCGGATATGCTATTAATACTCGCACAGGAGCTTACCCAACTGTTTTAGTGACTACGATGGTACATCAATCGTCTGATCGTTTCGCTCTTGCATCTTTTGTTTCTTCGAGCTATACCTTCTAGCAGACTCCACTGATTTTTCCTAATCTTCCGTTTTCAGCGTTAAGGCCATTCTTTCTCGCCTACATGCACCCTCCCAATCTGTGATTGACCATTTGGATGCTGTGATCCCTCTTCTGAAGTAAGCTCGTGTACATGTGTCGTTGAATAACATCCGTTTTGTATGCAACACCTCGGCTAAACTTCACTTAGTATATTCGAGTCCTTTTTAATACGCATCAGGGCATTTTCAACTCTGCTAGTTGTTAAAACTCATCTCGATGACTGATTTCATCCCTTTTAGTCTTTTCAGGTTCCAGTGATCTGTCTGTGACTCGTCTCAGGGGACATAGCTTTTTCTCATCATCTTTGTTTTTCTGGTTCTAATTTGTTAGCTGCTTAGTTCACTCCTCTGTAACTTCGCATCGATTGTGGCCCTCAGGCTAATACGGGATTCAGCGATCGGCTCGTTGAGAGGATACTTTTACACTTTGGCCCCCCCTCTTTAGTGCAGGTTGTCTATTTGTTGCTAGTTGACTGCCAAACCAGTTGTTTAGTTGTCCCGAAAGAACATCTGTTCACGTGCAGTAATGCCGTTCCTATGTAAACATTGACATTTGCGAATTTTTTTGAAATCCCTCGCCATATTTACCTCCTTGATGTCTCCGACCAACTCTTCCGCCGTTGGCCTCGCGAACTATTTGTTCATCGTATCCTCCACCCGTTTTCAATTAGACTTTGAAAGCGCTACCCGAAAAGCTGGTTTTTTATCTATTTGTGCAGATTTTAGAAAAGACCTTAATGGGAAGCCATAGCTCTTCTACCGGAACTTGAAATTCCTGGTAACTATTGCCGCGAAATCCAAGTTTATTCCGCAACGACCCCTACAGAGTTACAAAAGTGCCACATCTGCATAAGGCTAACCAGATAATCGGAAGCAATATACTACTGTTAACTCCTTAGAATTGCGCGCATTTCTCTTACCCGACTCCCGATCGTTATTGCTAACCTTCATCCACTAGTCCCTGTGGTGAGTCGTATGGGGAAAACCGATCAGGCGTGATAAAATCAGAAGGGCACGTAGTGCACAATTCAACCACTACCGTTACGTTGTGCAGCAAGGCTTACAGCGGAACGGAGAGTCAGGGCGGCACAACGATTGAAGTATACAAGTGGACCCGACTGTTCTATATTCTAGCTATTAGGTCACCTAGCCGTAGGTCCTATAATTCACGGCTCGTCTGGACCGAGTTGCGTCCCCATCTCCAGTATAGAAGATATCGGTTGCAACAGCAGCATTGAGCTTTTTCCATCAGTCTCCATGTCACTGCGGCACCTGGTAGTCCTTGGACACGAAAACCGCAACGCTGCCCAATCTCGTGGTCTGTGTGCAGCGTGTGTACTGTTAGACCGTACACACATCCATATACACTGGATACCACTGATATGAACACGTGCTGCGTTTCCGTAACCGATATTTATGACTCCGGTGCGGTTATTGAACTAAATGCATGTAGTTTATCCTCTCCACATGGATTTTATAGGTCCGGAGGTGTTGATGCAGGAATAACATTTCAAGCTGAGGTAAACACATTTGTCTGCTCCTGGGCTGAATTTTCGATGATTTACAGCCCTCCCTTGTTTAACCGTTTTTGTGCAGACGCTTTGACGGCATCGAGTAAACCGGACAGCGCTGGGGGCCGCTTGTTCTTGATTGCCACATGTACCCCAGCCATGCTGCATTAGTGGCCTCTTGTTACTAGCATGACACATCGTGGTGATGGTTCATTTTCTGTTGTTAGTTGGGGTTTTCGGGGTTTATTCGGAAGTGCGAACAATGCAGTGTTCGTAGCAAATGTACGCCGTTAAACAGCGGTAGCATATCGCACCACCCTGGTTCATTGCTGGTACTGAGTTACCACCTAGCGTCCCTCATCAGCCGACCTGTAATAGATTCAGCTTGATTACACCTCTTTAAGCTTCAGATGTGGTTGTTCTGCATTGGTTATCTCTCGTTTTAGTACACATGACTTTGGCATTACCGGAGAGCATAACAAATGATTCTGCCATACACCACTCGGTGTCGTACTGTCGTAAACGCTCCGTCGTGACGCTCACCTGTCTTCGCTCACTGCCTAGTGCCGCGTCCAGTCCAGCCGCGGTCCACATTGTGATTACGCGTCGCAATCCGATCCCACAACGTGTAGTCCAAAATGGCCCTCCAGTTAAACTTCAGCTCTGTTTGCATGAGGACATCGAGCATTTATGGAATAGGATATTTTCTACCGTGCATGGCGCCGTCTCTCAGTTTTCGTGACCGTCAGTAACCAGCTTACCAAATATTGGACGCTCCGAGTCTTTGGACCCGTTAGATTATAGAGTTAAAAAGTTCCAGCACTGAGTAAACAGACAGTCTACTAGATGCGAATCAAGCTGCGTGGTGTCTGTGCTGCTCAAGAACGACAGTGATGTTCTCCGCCATCCTGCACGAAGGGGTATTGATAGACGAGGCGGTTCCAGCCAAGGTTTGCAAATGCATGATAGTGACAGTTGCGACGCTTCCACCAACTCCATGACTGACAAGTTACTGGCCTACCACCCGGTTGAGAGATAAGAGACTGGTTTCTATTCAGGACGGGACCAAGCAGATTATATTTTACTAAACACCGCACGTCTACCACACATGCACTCATTTAGTTCAATCGCTCCATCCTGTCCGACGTAATTTCCCGGATACTTTTTCACATGGAATATGCGAGCATTTGGTGTGCCATGCACCCGAACACCACAAATCGCGTCAGATGCATTTCTGATTGAAAGCGACGTGATGGCCGCACTATTTCTCAATTTTCATTCAACTTTAACATGGATACCATTATGGTGGCTTATCTTTTGTAATCCAAATGATCAGACATTGAAGATCTGCACCGGGACAAGCCAGTTGATAGGGCTATGTGCACGATATCACATCTCTGGTTGATAATCTAGGACAGTACAATCAACTCTACAAATTATCTGGAGCAGTCTCGTCCTTTGGTTTGCACCATGTACTCCGAAGGTGATATCGCAGGCTACCAGATGCTCGATAGTGCTTTGGCTCTTAACGAGGAGAAACCATTGGGTCGTAGATCAGTTCACCCTCTTGGTATTAATGATAATTATGTGAGTGTTGAATTTTGTTCACGTATTTCGAATTTTACGACTGCATGAATGTGTGACAGTTGTGGCGTATGCATGTCACAAAGGCTCCACACACGGGACCATAATGAGGGTCACTCTTCTGTGAGGCAGTGAAGCATGCCTGCTGCAGCCCGAGTACTAATGTTCGGGAAAGTAAAATCTCACAGGAAAATTCATTATTTGAACTAGAAAACGAATTGAATCAATGGTGTACATCAAGTTGTTTCATGAACGTTGGCGTCAACACGACGTGCGCGTCTACTTTTCCACTGGTTAGCGGTACTAATCTACTCATCAACGCATCTGACCTAGCTGTTCTGATACGTGAACCTTCATTGGCTGACTTATAAATATCCCTTGATTCCGTAGTACTTGTGTCCATTTCGCAGCTGACAGGGAACTAGTTAACTTCAATCGGAATCTCCGACTAAGAGGCAGATCTAACAACTGGTGGCACATTGAAGTATTTGCCATCGTCACCGGATGTTTTTGGTCTTATGTCGTCGGCTAGATCTGAGCATCCTCACTGCATGTTTTCTTGGCGCAGTAATTGATTATACTGAGGGTTTCCATTTCGTTGTCGTATTCATCTTCGTTCGTTATACCTGTATGGCAACAAAAAATCAGCAGATGTTACTGACGTACTGTTACTAATGCTGTAAGCATTAGGACGCTTCAAAATACATATTCCTTGTTTCATTATAGCGAGTCGTGTTTGCAAAGCTAAATATGGAGCTGTGCGCAGTGTTTTCCGTGCAATTTCTGCCACTCTGGATTCTCCGTTTGTTGCGACAAGCCGCATTGCTCGGTTCACTTAGACGGCATAAGATATTTGTACCGTTCTTTCAGAACAGTTGTGTATAACTCTCGCTTGCCTTCTTTGAGAAGCAACCGATTGTCTTTCAGGCCGCTCTTTGGATATCGATATGAAAGCAGTAAAATGATGTTGCGCAAAAAATCCGATTTCCTCAGACAGCGTGATTGGTACGTTTTCACCAGTCCAGAACCTACCCTAAAGTGTTTCTTTCATCTATTTTGTAACAGGTTTACGAACCACAACATTCATCTGTCTCATGCCGAACGTAAGGTAGTAGCTCTTACGTTTCTCCGATTGATGGCTAATCAACACTTCGGGCTTCAATCTCTTTTCAAAGCGACTCAATTGGATGCATTATTGGAAGATGTGACTGACAGATCTGGCACCGAATTTATTAATGATGTTATTGATCATTTGTATGCTAAATTTTCATAACGTGCCTGTTTCTTAAATACAAGCAAGTTAGCTAAGTCCGCCTTTTTGAAAGACACCGGTTTATCTTACGAAGTTCTTTAAATGCCATATGCCTTCGGCGATGAATGTTATCCAATTGGTTTCCCGCGCTAGATCATAACTGGTTCACAAACATCATCACCCGCCCACTGTGTACCGCATGCAAGCTACAGTCAGATGAATGCTTGACTGGGACACGGCTCATCTGAATAATAAACTACCTATGGTGTACTCGCCCTCATCCATGCAAATATAACATACGATACACGGGCTAACATGCGAAAAAACCAACCGGACGAATACTGAGGATATAGAGCAAGGAGATAAAAAATCTGTGTTGCTCTATCGTAGGTGGATCGAGCACATGCGCGGAATCACGTCGCTGATTCCTGCGCTGCGGCAACATATTGCAGCTGTACTACCTCTTATCCGGGTGCGATGCGCTCCCTATACATGCAGTCCGCAAAGTGGGCAACAAGGTATCTCTTAAATTCCGACACAGATTTCGCCTCGACTAGCGTCTCTGGCAATTTGTTCCAATATTTCACCGCTCGAAGCAAAGAGGGTGAGCAATGTGCTTTAAATCCGGTACCACTAGTTTATACCGGTATCCGCCTGTGCTACTTGGTGCGCGAATGTGCAGCAGCGATTTCAACATATTGCAGTGGCCCAGGTGCAGTATCCAGTGCGTCATAATGACATCAACTCGAAGCCGACGATATGACAGAGTGTAAAGCCCTAGTCTCCTACATCGGTCCTCCTATGACATACCCCGTAAACTGGGGATGAGCCGGGTAGCTACATGCTGGACCGTTCCAGTCTCTGCACCTCACCTATTGTGATCGGGCAATAGGTGGGTGAGCCGTACTCAAGCACTGGTCTTATGGAAGAGAACAGGCGGGTGGCATTCCCTTCAGACCAAGTGCAGAAGCTGCGCCTAAATGTCCAAAGCAGTCGTAGTCCATTCGTGTACAGTCTGTTCCTGTTATCGGCACACTTCAGATCACAGCGTGGGAGTACACCTAGATCCTTTACGGAACTGGTGGCAGGCCAAGGTGTACGCACGCCCATTACTACCCCTCCTCAGGCTCATAAATGAGGACTTGGCCGTGTTGACCAGTAGGTCAACTTTTGCAGACCACCGGTATAGGCGGTCGAGGTACTGCTGAAGGACGTCACAGTCGCCGGGAGAAGCAATAATCTTCCAAATCTTCAGGTCATCCGCAAATAATAGGCAGGACGACCGAAGAAGCTGAGGTACTTCGTTGATGTGGATCAGGAACAAAATGGGACCCAGAACTGTGCCTTGGGGTACGCCGCCAGTGGACGGGTACCATACCGTTAGATGGTCATCCACATCAACCCGCAATCTTCTCCCAATAAGGAAATCACTGGTGCAGTGCGCCACCAACACCACACACCTTTAGCTAGTGAAGCAGGACCTCATGGTTCACTTTATCGAGAGATTTACTGAAATCGATGAAGATAACATCCACTGACTTTCCCCGATTCAACGCTTGCGACCATTCTTGCCGCGTCAACACCAGGTTGGTGATGCAAGAGTGGCCCTTCATGAAGCCGTGCTGTACCGGCCTTAGTAGATTTATTGACTCCATCAGCCGGAGACCTTTTCCACTATCTTCTCGAGCACGTTCGCCAAAATAGAGGGGAGACAAATCAACAGGTAATTGTTCACATTGCGTGGGTCATCACCTATTAGAATCGGCTTCACTACCGAACATTTCCAGTCGCTCGGGAATGCACCCTCGGACAGCGATCTGTTGAACATATCCGTCACGGCAGGCGAGATGATGACCCAAAAGGACTTCAACATTAACGGGTGAAGTCCATTGGGTCCGGCAGGATTTGTGCCATCAAGACTGGTGAGTAGACTGCGGACATCTCCTATACCGCAATCAAGGCCATCGAGTTAGGTAGGGGCTGCACACGTCGAGCTCGGCATAGGCGCATGCTCAATGGTACGTACGGAAGCAAAGTGCTCCGTAACTGCGGACACACGTTCAGTGCTGAAGGTCAGATGTTGTCCGTCAGTGCCCTCTAACACAGCTGCGTCACTTGCGGGCCTCAGGTGCCGGTTCACTTAAGCAAAATTCTTCTTGGGGGCCGGCTTCGCTGAGGTTACAAGCTCCTCTTCGAATTGCCGACGCTTTTGCGCTGTTGCATCGATTCCGCTGTTTTTGTACGCCTAAAAATTGTCGGCAGAGCCAGGGACAGGAAATTAGTTCCACAATTCGCCTCGCTGTCGAGCCAATTGACAAGAACAACAACAGCAGTACATCAGCCGCTTGAACTGATGCTTCGCTGCCATACAACCACGATGACCTATGAAATAAAGAATAAGAAGAGGGAGAGAAGGGGGACTTACCTGAAAACCTTAATGCCCTAAGCAAACATTCAGGGCCAAGGTGCCTACACCTTGTGTAGACAACATACCGTCACAAACAGCTGGCTATCGTGCAAAGATCAGGCGGCATCGGCGAGATAGCTTCCTTGCGGCTTTCACTGCCACGCGTCATAATCGGTCATTACCGCGCAGATAACTGAGCACAAAAAAACAGGCAATCCGATTAGGAGACGGCAGCAGTCGCGCCACTGGTGTCTACTGCGAGCCATGTCCTGTCAAGTCTCGAGCCAAGCACAAGGTGAGTCACGTGTACTCCAACCCGGGAGGCGAGACGGACCAACGGTACCCAGTCTGGTTGTCAGTTACTTCATTTCACGCTGCCAAGTCAACTTCTATACACCTCGAGTCTTGCGCCACCCTACACCTGGCAGACTAAATAAGGCCTTCCTAGGTAAGCGGTGACCAGGCATACGTAGCACGTGCCCGAGCCAACGCAACTTATTCAGTGCTATCTGTTGTTCTAGGGAGCTAACATGATTATCACTGCCTAGTACTCGCCTACGCACATCATCGTTGCGGACACGCTGGCGCCATCCGACTGCAGCAATGCTTCGCACAGAACGATGATCAAAGACTTGAAGGCGTCTCAGATCTTCAGACCAAAGGGGTCAAGTCTCACTACCATAGAGCAGAACGGCCTTCACTGTGGCTCTGTATACCCGGTCTTTCAGACGAAAGGAAACTCCCTTCTGTCGCCAAAGATGTCGTAGGTTCAAGAAGGCAGTTCTGGTCTTTGCAATGCGTGAGCTGACGTTAGTTTCTATGCGCCCATCATTGCTGATGCAGCTGCCAAGATAAGTGAATTGATCAACCACCTCGAGTTCCTCGTTATTAAGAGTCAAGGGGTCATCAAGTGGCTTGTGGTCTTGCAGCAACACTGCACTTTGAAGGTGCTAAGCGCACACCAAATAATAGGATCACTCGGGACAGGCTGTTCAGGGTTGATTGTGCCACCGCAACATCGTCGAAAAGCAAGACGATATCGTCCACATAATCAAGATCAACTGACCTTGCACGAGACAGGACGTCAACGCCTACACTGTGAGATTCCGCAAGGGAACACTCCCTGATAGAATCCACGACAAAATTGAACAAAAATGGGGAGATCGGACAACCCTGACGAACGCCACTTGTGGTCGGAAAGCTATCTGTTAGGCTACCGTACACTCTGACGCGGCCTGTAGTGTTCGAGTATGGCGCACCTAAGATGTTCACACATTTCGTGGAAACACCTTTCCGTGCAAGTATTTCGTAAAGAATGCATCGATCGACTGAATCGAACGCACTCTTGAAATCGAGGAACACAGCTATTGTCGGTCTGCGGTATGCGTGGCGCTACTCTAGCACCTGCCGCAAAGTGAATATATGGTCTGTACAGCCACGCCCTGGGCGGAAACCTGTCTGCGCTTCCCTTATCCAAGATTCCCATTCCACAGTGAGGCGAAGAACGAGAATCGAGACCAGTAATTTTGTCACAACTGGCGTTAGGCTAATACCCTTGTGATTAGAACAGTCTGTGCGATCGCCCTTCTTGTATATTGCCACTATAATCGACTCACTCCAATTAGCCAGGACACTCCCTTCCAGATACGTTCGGACAGGGAGGTCAGTGCTTTGCAGAGGACCTTACCTCCATCCTTAAATAGTGCAGGTGGGAGGGAATCCGGGCCAGCGGCACGAAAACGATTAAAGGCTGTGATCGCGTTACGGACATCGGCCTCCGACGGAGGCTCTAAACTAACCCTCCATGGCTCGTCGTGCATCACCTGAGTAGGAAGAGGTCCAGGATCAGGGAGCCAGCTGAACTGAGCTTGAAAGTATTCCGCCCAACGAGCCATACGGCGCTCCTTATTGTATCCTAGTGCACCCACGCCTGATTTCCTGGGACCACTGGTTCGGATCAGCCGGTAGAGCTTGTAGTTATTGCCTACTTCTCCTGCCTTCTCCATTTCTTGAGCCCCAGTGGTCCACCGGGCTTCTTTGTCAGCACGTAAGCTCCGCTTTAGTTCGCGCCTAACAGCCTGTCTGGTCACATTGTGTTCGGAGCCAGCCGGGAGGTGTCTTCTAGATTCCAACAGGTTCACCGACCTCTCGGATATCCAGTACTGGTGCGGTGATGATGGATAGTGCCACAAGCAGATGCTCCTGCGTCGTGCATGGCGGCAGAGATTCTATTCCACTGAAGCTCAGTGCCATTAGGACAAGACAGCGAATGTTCGGTATGCACTGCGTATTAATATGCTTGCCTGACCGAGGGCTAAGATAATTTCTCCGTTGCCAATCGTAGGGGACGCTTGGTGCGCTTCCCGGTAAAGTTCATGGAGAAACGACAGCGTACCAAGGCATGATCAGAGTCGACGCAGGTATTCCAGTACGAGCGGCAATCTAGGATGCAACCACGACGCCTGTAACTTATGGCTATGTGGTCAGTTTGGGTCCATCGTTGGCCCACTACAGGAAGACGCCAAGTTGCAGTTCGGCGCCCAATGTGTCTAAAAGCAGTGCTACTAAGAAGCAATTGGTGCTCCGCATATATTTGCAGCAGACGCTCACCGTTGTCAGTCCGTTCGGAGGTAAGCCCACAATTACCACCCAGCTGAGTTTCTGAAGAGCTCAGACGCCCTACTTGTGCGTTCATATCCCCTGCAAGTACTATAATATCTGAACTCGCAGCACTGCGTAGTAGCGCGTTCAGTTCGTGATAGAATGTGTCCTTGACAGCATTAGAACTGCAGTCGGTGGGAGCATAAATGGAAATCACAAACAAACAGCGTTTTGTTTTACTTCGCGAATCCACCTTAGCTGATGTCGTCAAACGGGCTGCACATAAACGGCTGTTCACCGGAATCCAATCAACCAACGTTGGCTCAGCCTTGAGGCTTAGAATGTCACCTAAAACAGCTTGACCCGTGAGTGCTGGATCGGCGTCTCCGGATGCGTGCAACTAATAACGAGAGGATAAGCCGGGTGCACTTAATTCAACAATCCCATTAGGCCCATTGATCCTGCTTTCGGACACACAACACACAGCAATACCCAGTGTGTCCGAGGTGCGTGTGAGTGCAGCCTGCTGACCTATTTGTCTTAGAGTGCGAGCGTTGAATGTCGCCATGGAAACGGGACAACATAGCTTTATAATGGACTGTTATCGATAGGCGTCCGGTGCGTGTCGCCAGAAGTTGGCTGCAGATGGTTCTACTCCAGTGGCACTTCGGTTGCTGTCAATTAAACTGGAACTCATGGAAGGAAGCTTAGTAGTGAGGGTCTGGATGGGAGTAAAAGAAACAGGTGGGAAGCAAAGTATGGAGGCGCCAGCAGTATCATGTTTTCGCTTATCCGCCCTGCTGTATGCAGCAGATAAGGCGACCCTTGATAATCTGCGCGACGGCCGATGCAGGATGAAGTTTATGTTTGAAGAAAAGGTCATGTTTGTATGTGGGCTGCGATACTGCCAGGGCATCCAGACCTAGACTGGAGGGTCCTCATCCAAAGCCTTTGGCTCAAAAGCCTGTCCGCCAGGTAGCTGGGATATGACAGTGATTTGTTTTTAAAGGAATTTACGCCGTCCAATTTCAAACCCCCAAGCTGTAGGACCAGGAGACTGAATTTGTCTGACCTCTCACCATTGACCAACCTCGTAGGAGTATCTCAAGATGCCCGGAGGCATCACCCAGTATAGCCCATTGGGTCAAGGAAGTACGCAAACCGTCGCTCCACGTTGACAGCCAAGTAGCTCATTCGCCTTCTTTGTGTTCGGAAGCAGTCCACAGAGAAGCCGGCGGCCAGCGAGGTTGTTCATCCGCCCTCGGTTAGATAATCACCCCCCCCAGTTACAGGTGAGTGGTCAGTGACCCTATAGCCGGTCACCTTGTCTTTGAGACAGCGCCATATGAGCACTTGTAGGGTTTGATGGAGAACCAGGTGACCAGCCCAGAACTATCCACGCTCTAAGATGCTGCCGCTGATTGTCTGCGACTGCTTTTTCATCTCGCTTGCAAAGCAAACGGGACTTATTCGCAGTTACCTCCACAAGGAAGGCATTCCCGATCCGCAACCCGGGGACGCGCCTGATAGCGTACAGCTTCGCCACGGGTCCGTCGCCTAAAACCCAACTTATGCAAGTAACTTGAACTTGTGGCTAGTCTTGCTCTGCCATGGTAATATGTGAGTCTCCCTGCCACAACCCATTATCGACCCTTGGTATTGATTCCCTTTCACTTCCGTTCGTTTAGTTTTCATTATTAGTATGTATGCGGCCGAATGAATTCGTATCCTATTATCGCGGTTCCTAAATAAGTGCTACGAGCGAACGATCGCCCGACCTAAATAAGTAATCATACTACCTGCAATGACCGTGCGTGACAGAAAGGTCTACAGAATTCTTCGGAACTTAACGCAACTGTGAGAAGACGGGCCATAATTTAATGAACACTGACATACTAATGCTAATGTGTGAGTCATAAACACAGACGGTGCTTATGGAAGAGGCTAAGAAATTACTTGTTTTGAACACCAGTTTTTCGGGTACTGTCGAAACCCAAACGGTCCACTAACTTCAAGTACCAAAGTATGTGAGCTCCAGCTGCAGCAGCGCGCTGGATATGTGATATGTGCGAGCAGATCTGTTGAATACATGCCATCCTGGCTACGGCTTACCCAGACTGCGCATAGTGCATGCCAGGAAAGCGTGAAGGATCGAGCACAAGTGGCTTCCCCCTTGTGGATGGGAGCTATTGGGTCGACCAAATCGGTGTTAAAAATTATGTGACAGTCGTGCACTCGAAGAGCAAGCAGATCTCGTGCATCCTCACTTCTAATTACCAATCCATCATTAAGCTGTAAATTCATTTTCCATGCTTTTTTAAAAACTAATTTTGCCGGTATCACTCCGGTAATCAAATGGCGAATAACAAGTATACGAATGTCCATATATTGACTAGTAACTAATCAGCATAATTCAGTCGAGCGCATCGATGATATGCGTAAGCGATGATTTCACTATGATGACCGGATTAGTTCCTTAAAGCAACAAATAACGCTGGGTAGGTTGCGTTGGCTCAGGTACGTGTTATCTATGCTTGCGCAGTGCTGAATGGACAGGGTCTCGGAACTGCCATGCGTGGTGGGTTGTCTTAAGTCGGCCAGTCCAAACAGCGTCGCGGACGTAGTCAGGTTGGAGCGAAAATGTCGAACTTATCATCACTAGAATAAACAATAATAATAGTGGCTTAGATGTGAATGATCTGTGACGCGGATCAATCGGAAACGTTCTATGCGCACTTTACCACTAGAATAGTCCCATGACCCATTGAAACGGTAACGACAGTTATTCCCCGAGTTGAGTGTTTCTCACAATCATCTAGCGAATTATGCACTAGTTCAATTAAGCTGATGAAGCTCTTGTGTCAACAGCGAAACGTAGCCACAATGTAATTCCTTCGAAATTATAAGTCTTATTTTGTTTATCGAATGCATGGTAGCACAAAGCTGGTGCGTACACCGGTTGACTTCAGGAAATGAAATCACTAACCATACGTTTAGCTGCGGTTCGTCAGTTTAGCCCTCTGGGCGATAACCATCATGAGTTGCTTTGTGCTTGAGTCGTGTTAAAACACCTTATGGCCGTGATGTGAGAAGAATAGATGGCACAAAAAACATATGCGTAAGCTCGGGTTGCACTCGTTGGTTCACTATGCATCAAATGGGAGTTGCAGTAAGGTTCAAAAAGGATTGGATGGTGTAAAATATGCATGTAGCAACGTGTCGCCCATTAAGTAATAGAGTGGGCTTAAGTCACGCAAATTCGAATTTCGTCTGACTTCCATTTAGCGAGTTTCTTCAAAGTCTGCGTGGTGTAATATGCGGAAGGCAATATTCGAAGCGATTTATTCAGGCTACCTTGCAAGATTCTGCGACTGGATAGTACAATGTATCTGGTTCCCAGCACCTCGTGAAGATTAGAACATCGGAAGGGTGATGTGAGAAATACTTTAGGCCAATGATAAAATACGGGGGTGAGGTGCTGCATATCTTGCCGAACCAGGGCTAAGGACCGTTTGAGTAGTGCGTCCAGTTAGTTCATTTAATCAAGGACAGTGGTTCCTTCAGGCTAGTCCACTGACAAACAGTGTCGTCCGTTGTAGCCAACAGGATGCAGTAGTGGTCGTACAGTTGGCGCGATATTTCTAGGTCATCCAACATCTCTACATGTTCCACTCTGGATACGGACAGAAGAAAAAGGAGACGGGAATGATGTTTACAAGTGAACACTACATGCAGGTTGTAGGTGGAAAACACGCTTCAGCTATTGTGCTGCAATAGGATAAGATTCATGAAATAGTAAGATAGTAATTGCAAAATACAAGAAAATTAAAAATATTATGTTTGGAGTATGATATCGTGATACGGGGGAGGAGATAAAGAAATTCGCAACATAAACAACAATGAGGTCCGATCCTTGCTATGTCACCAAGTGTATTCAACCAGACGTGTTCATCGTCTTTCGAACCCCAGCCAGGCAGTAGGGACGCGCCAACCGACGCCAATGTCGAAGTGAGGGCCTTCGTTCCTTTTGACCAATTCATCGGTTGGCCTCCCCTCCTCATCCATCCACACTCCCAAGGCAATTCGTGGAAGTCAGTGTGCTAGCATGTGCAACACGTGGCCTAGTCATTGGATCCGAGTGCGTGAAATGACGGTGCTGGGCGGTGCACTGCTCCTGCGGTGTCCCCCAGACATCAGTTAAGCTGCGAAGACAGCGCTGATAGAACGTGACTAGCCTTTTTATGTTTGTCGGCTTGATGGGCCATGAGGGTTGAACGGAAGGTTACAATACAAACCCTGCTCTTCATGGCGAGAGTGATGTCGTGTCTGTGCCGCATGTGGCGGAGATTGGCAAAAGCACCTCGAGCTTTTGCTATACCGTTCATAATCTCAGCTTCTTTGCAACAGGCGATAATATAACTTGAATTTCTGGGCGACTTCAAACTGATCACCACCGAGCATAGCGCAGGTGCGGGTCCCTTCGAATCATAAAGATGGCGTAGTCCGAAACGACCGATAGCCAGAGCTAATTGATCCAGTGCAGCTTGACATGCTTAGGAGCTATCATAAATTAAGGCAATGTAGTCGCATACTCCCAGTCAGAAATTCGACCACGTGGAAGCAGCCCAACACCTAAATCATATCCAGTAAACACCTTTTCCATGAATTCATCAATGATGAAGTTAAAGCGGAAAGGTGACGGCAGGCAACCTTATCTCACAACGCTGGTGATATCGAAAGGCGGTGGTAGTTCGCCATAAACTTGGATTATGCGCGTACAGCACTCTTATGACGTTTACATATTTATTGGGCACATTTTCTAAGCAGACAGTCTCAAAGGACATATCGACCCACCGGATCTAGGTACCTAGGAACATGATTACGGTGAATGGCCAATAAAAATGGCGGTGTTCCAACAACTGACGCAATGTGAATCTGTGTCCAATGCAGCCTCGATTTCGATAAAACCTGCCTGCTCTTGGCGAATCTGGATTTCACCGGTGCTAGTCAGTCTATGGAGGACAACGGAGACAAGTACTATAGATGGTAAGTTAACTGCTACTAGACAGTAGTGATGTGAGTGTTGTTCAGCCAAGATCGTACTTATACGAGATAAAAAATATGTAGCAACAAGCGAACAATTAAGTTTCGACCGGTGATACCCTTGAACTGAGCTAAGAGCTGCGTTGGGAGCACAAGAGAAGAGGAAAACAATCACCAGCGTCGCTGGAGCGACCCAGCAGTCTAGATGATAGGCCGGAAGCTCAGTCTGAACATATCCGCCAGAAACATTAAAGAGATACTACACCAATGATAGAATTAGAAAGTAACAGCTGGCGGCAGCATAAGTACACCTAAATTGAGAGAAATCCATGCAAACCGAATATTTAAAACAAGTTTCCATAAGAGAACTACCGTGATCGGGTTTCCCTTGAAAATTCTTCGTACACTTCATTCACGGTCCACGCTTTCGCTTTTTGCCAACCTGCTTCGATAAATCTGACGAGGAAGCAAGAGACAGGAAACAGGAATGGAGCTAAAAGGCAGTGTTTTTGCAAGACAGCAATAAAAGGAATGCCGTTGGTGTGGACAGACCATGCAACTCCGATAAGTTGCCCCCGGAGCATCCAAACGGCGATTAAGTAGCAACTGACTGTGGGTAGTGTGAGAACATGCGAAGGAGTAGATTGCGAGGACTATTCGTTTACAAGAACAAAGTCTTATTACGTTTTGTAATATCGGTACATGAGCACTAATACACCAAGTTGCCCATAAAATAACACACACGGCATCCTACCAACACGCAAATGAATGTACAACTGAAACTGGTGGTGGATATAAGTGTAAGTCAAGGAGGGAGGGTGTTGCGCGATACTCAATGGCCCACCGATCATGGCGATAGTCCCCAACCAATATATGCCGAGTTCCACTCCCAGCTTGGCTATCTCTACCTGACGAATCAAAACCAAGACGAAACCGTCGATCGTGGAGTACAGGGATGGGAGAGAGCCACACCGAAAACCACCAATTCGGTGACAGTCCCAGTGATCGGATTGGTAGAGGCCGACTTCAAAGCCAACAAATGAGACTGCGTGTCGCAATCCAAGACACACAGCAGGTAGTCCAAAACACAAGATTAAACTTCTAACCGTTGTGTCAAGCGCTTCTTGCGGAGCTCAATGGCTTAGTGAACATGACGATAGCCGCTAACAACACTGTGCCGATTTCCACTACCAGCTCAGACTATCTCTAGTTGATGAGTATAAACAAGGACGAAACATGTCATGGAGTGCAAAAAAGGGAGAGAGCCACATCGAAACCCACTAAATTCGGAAGCTTTTACGGAAATATGATGCCCAAGGCAATGGGGCGTTAATGCACCATGTACGAATACAGATTTTGAACCTGACCATAGAGGAATGTTTCCATACCAATTCCGTTATTCAAATATTTTCTGAGGATACGCGCAGCAGTTACCGGAATTCGCACCGCCATTATAGAAGGGAAAATAAAAAGCGGTAGAACGTAAACAAATAAACAGGAAGAAATTTATTTGAGGACGGATCGGAAAAAGGACAGTTGTAGAAGGACAGCGCTAAAGAGAGGCAGCAACACAGCGTATGCAATAACATCATGACTGCGTCATGTCGGATAAGATCCCTAGTAATCGCATGGCCTATTCCGAGGCATTCATCCGGGAAGACAGGATACATCAGCGCTAATTTCTTTTTTCTCCTTCAGGTCGGCGGGTATTAGTCCGATCGGGAATTGTCTGAAAACAGCACAGACCGATGTGTAGGACCAAAAGTATAAAAGTAAGTCGAATGAGCTAATGTAGATGCCTCAAGCGCAGTTCGCTGCGAAATGTCACCTGGGGGACATCAACGTTACTCACTTAGGGATCACAGCTGATGCAAGCGATGTCATGCACATTAAGGTGGTCAAAGACAACTGGTCTTTCAGTGTTTTTATGGTGCAGTGACAACGTGGTTAAGGATAGGTCGGGATGGACAAAAGTTGAAAATGTGTGAGCCGATTTAAGCGACAACACTGCGATCGAGTGCTGAGATGGAAGTAATTGTGGTAGCCAATCGGTTTAACAATGTTTCGTTGGCCTTGCCTGATGATGGATGGCTGCATACGCAACAAATGCAAAGAAAAAACTGCTTAGCGGAGATTGGTAAGGAGCATCCGTCTGGTAAGAGGGAAGACGTGAACGTCGAAAAGCGCTTCTCCAAACAACCGATTCGCGATATGAGGGTCTTAATGTACGACAGCGTTCGAAGCCTAGCGATGAGATCTTTTGTGCCCGTTACCAACACCTTAGTAAGCGTGCTATGAGTGTGAGGGATCAGCAGTACATGAGTAGTTTGAACCAGTGCTACGTTGCCAAGCAGTTGCATGTAGGCTGGAATAACGTAGGGGCAACCAAATTCACGCAGGTGGAGAGACTCGGACCTAGGGTTACAAGTTGAAAGCCAAACACCTACATTACAACACCATGGATCCTCCGTATTACCAATATGAAAATATATGGCGCACCACCGTCGGCAACATGTTCAGTGCTAACTCCATGAATGTAGGCCATAGTGCTCAGCGTAAGCGCAACGAACATGCCCGCGCGAGTTCACCATAGTCGCTGCCGTCTAATAGTCTGAATATCAAAGTGCCCTGACTGGTCTTTCCAATTTTGATAACGAGTAAGGCTTTGTAACAAGTCGTATGTACCCTCACGTGATTTGGATTCAGCAAAAATCAAGCGCACGGAGTATACAGGTAACACGCGTGCAAAGAAAACTGATTTCCAATGGTGTGTATACACAACAGACTAAGGCCAAACGCTGCGTGAACGCATGCATAAACAAATCAGTCACTGTTTGCGGAAGCTAGGAGACAAGAGCCACAGAAAATTCATGGTACGAGAAACAAAAGTTGGCTTACACGCACTTACCGTTTTTCTTGCTCTTGCAATGACTGGCAAGCCGATAAACCAGGGAGGTCACAGCCACGTGTGCGAAAGTTTTCAACCATAATCATCCCGAACCGGTCGTTCATGTTCACCTGTGGTCAACCAAAATAAAAATGCGAAAATTTGAGGCGGTATTCAAGGGTGATGCAAAATTAAAGCCCAAACATTATTACATGCACTAAATGGAAGATAAAGGAAGAGTTTATCAAAACTATAGGACCGGGACCAGAAACCATGGATATCGCAATGTGGACAGATGAACTGATTTGAGAATACATTGACTTTAACGAATCAGACGTCCCGTCAGCTTATCGCAATGGCATTACAAGTCAGATAAGTCAACAACCAAATCGAAATTGCCATTACAACTTGGTCCGCGAAGTTCCCAGTGGATAAATTATAATTTTGTCAAGTACAAAGGCATTTTGTTACTGGTCATACTTGTGTGTAAACTAAAGAGTACTGGCAAATGTGGAGCAGAATGATTAACCCGACTTTGCTCAGTTCTTGAATTTTAATTGCTCTTAGGGATTGCAAACAGCCGTTTGTACACTTAGGTTGCTCGTGTAATGAATGACGTAGGTAAACATTTCTGATTTATCAATAACGTCGCCGACAACTTTGTTGTTCTTGACTCGATCGGAATGGAGGGGTAATCATAATAAAACACAGTAGGAACGAGGGCGAAAATTGACATAGCGACAAGAGCACAGCCCACGCAGCTGGGCAATTAAGCGGTGGGGCGACCCCGGTAGCTGGTAATCAGACGGTGAAAAATTCGCACATTTATGAGAAAAGAATTTGCATTTTGAAAAAAGTGGGCAATAAAGTGGGTGGACTATAAACTGGGAGGGCAATAAAGCAGCTTCGACTATGTATGGTTGGCGAAATTCGGTTCCGAATTCGCCTGTCACTGTGGTCAGCCACAGGACGCCTGCGCCTACACAGGGACCGTGAGTGCCTTGCGCTGCACCACCCACACCTCATATCCAGTATAAAACCCGAAGGAATAAGACCGGGAGGCATGTGGATGAGAGCCACGTTTCATCAATGGAGCCGGCCTACACTCCTTCACAGGCAAACACAAGCACGCTGTATTTGGGGAATCAAGCGCACACAAGGCGGTGGCTGGACCGTTGTCCGTTCCACACTGAGTGCAGGGAATCAATATTCTAGCCTAGCAGGACCACAAGCAGAGCGCATCTCGTCCCCTCCAGCAACGGCCAACTGTCTTCTAGAGCCAGTATGGACGAGGTAGTGGGTAATAGACAGGTAGCCACCTTGTCGACATGCACATCAAGCGCAGCCACACCGGGGATATCAAGCAACAGCCAATCATTTGAAACGAAAAGATAAATAAATCAAATCGGATAATGCATACAGATAGGCAGACATAACTCTTTACTTAATAGGCGTATAAAAAACTAATTACGAAGAAATTCAAGATAAGTTTATTAGTTAGAAAATATATTTTGAGGAAATGCCACAAACTCGAAAATGTTATTGAAATTAAATACACTTAGGTCATGCGAGGTGTGCAAGCTTATAGAAGATAGTAAAGGCAGAGATTAATATGAGAAAGAAAAGCATTAGGACAAAACTGCAACCTCACCACCTGAAATAAAGAGACTCAGCATGCAAGCACGCAGTTAGTAAATCGAATGCAGCGTAACTACAAACACTGCGCCGGTTCAGCCTACGGTCCCTAAAGGACGCATCGCCGCTTCGGTAGTGGTCCCCAGTGGCCTGGCTCATGGTTCACTAAGCCTGCCTGACTCAGGCACTCGCGACCGCATGTGCTACAGCACCATGCGCTCCATGACGATGGAGTACAACCCATCGGAGCTTGCTGCTTCCGCAATTGCCGCTACTTTTCTGCATGCATGAGATCTTTCTCCCGCACTTCGGCAACTGCCCTCGCGATCAGATCGCGCCATGCATGCCGATCAACCGCATTCGATTCCCATGATCTGCAATCAAGATTAGAACGTCAAAGGCTCACTTTGATCATGCCCTGATAACGTAACTGTGGTTTCCCCACATGCCGCTTCCCAATACTCACCTGACCATTTAATAGTTGTTTCGGTATCCTCGTCGAATCCATACGGCTCACATGACCGAGCCACCTCAGGTGTCTCAGCAAAAGTATGCAGTCCACTGCATACATTTCAGTTCGACCCAACAATTCCGTCTCCGTAACTCTGTCGCCCCATCCGATGCGCAGAATCTGTCGCAAACACTGTTGGTGGAACCGCTCGAGATATCGCATATTCTGCCGGTACATCGTCCACGTTTCACTGCCGTATAGAAGAACGGAAAACACCATGAATGAGTACGCCACAAGCTTCGTACCAATGGTAAGCTGATGGTTGTTCCACACTCGGTACTATAGCTTCCCGAATGCCACCGCTGCCTTCGACACGCGGATACGAAACTCACTGTGTAACTGCTGGTCAGTCGACATCACACATCCAGGGTAGCAGAAGCAGGAGGTGGTTTCCAATACTTCAGCACCAATGCTGATTCGCCGCAATATTGAAGATTGCATTTCCGGTGAAGGCTGAAAGAGACAGACAGTTTTGCTTGTGTTTATGGTGAGCCCGAATTTTGCCGCTGCCGAAGCCAGAGCATTAGTCATGTGCTGCATCTCATCCACACGGTGTGCAAAAACGCACAGTCGTCAGCAAACAGCGACATACGGATAGTTGTCTCACAGACTAGAGTTCTCGCACCGAAACGACGGATGTTTAGCAACCTAGCATCAATACGGTGCTCCACACCAACACCGTAAGCACAAGCCGCATCAAAAGCACAAGACATAATGGCATGAAGATAACTATTAAACAATGGAGGAGCTAAGACACTGCCTTGCTTCACACCAGACAACCGCAAAGTCATCCGAGGTCTCTCCACTCAGCTGCACTGTAGCACGCCTACCACTGTGCAGACATTCAATTAGGCTTACAAACTTACGCGGGCAACCGTAGTTACCCAACACCAGTCACCATGCCTCGCGGTTCACGGCATCAAATGCCTTGGCGAAATCAACAAAAAGCGAATACAGTGGCTGGCGTCGTTATCTGTGCTTCTCCTACAACTGACGAGCCGTAAACACCATATCTATAGTGCTGCGACCCGAACGGAATCCACACTGCTCTTCCGCCACGTTAGGTTCCACAACCTGAATGACAAGGCGGTTGAGCAGGGTTCGGGCAATCACCTTGCCCACACAACTCAGCAAGTTGATGCCACGATAATTCGTGGACCATTGCTTGCTCCCTTTGCCCTTGTGCAGTGGTAGCACAAGTGTATCCTTCAGCTCAGGAGGCACCTCCTCCACAAACTATACGCGTTGCACCAAGTGGTGCAGCGCAGTCACCATCTCAGGCCCACAGTGTTTCAATACTTCAGGCGGGATCCCGTCGACACTGGCACACTTGCTGTTTCGCAACAAAGCTAGTGATTTCTGCATCTCATCTGGTATCGGCGCGTCTGCCATACTCATCTTCACCTTGTGCTACTTGAGGCTGTTCAAGTTAGGCCAGTTGTTCTCTGAACGGTTGTTCAAGAGACAGTCAAAGTGTTTTTGTCCGATCTGCATTATGTCTGCAGTCTGTGTGCAGGTAACACCTGAACTGCCAACGATCAGCGTCCTCAGCGGCTCCAATCTCGTTCCATACACCGCCTTCAAGAAGTCAAAGAATTCCTTGTGTTGGCGACGTTCGGCGTAGCATTCCATCTGCTTTGCCTTCTCCGTCCACCATGCAAGTTTAATGTGACGGAGCTCTCGGGTCAGTCACCGTCGAAGTTTGCGAAGCTGACTATTCTTCCCCAAGTCACTGGGGTCTGCCACATGTGCAGCAAATGCCGCATTCATCTCCGACACCAATTTGCCAATCGTCGCATTGTTCTCATCAAACCCATCAGGCAGCTTACAGTTTGCGCACCCGATGGTCTCCTCGGCAGCAGCTGTCACCTGGTCGCGAATGTGGTGCCACAGGTCGCCCACTGTAGCTATGCAGTCCACATCACACAGGCGTGCAGCCATCGCCTTTTCCAAGTCAATGCTTTTCTCCACTGTACCGAGGGAGAGAATGTTAAATTTACGCCGATTCACGGCGGGAGTGCAATACATAGATTTACGAAAATATATGTACAGTTTGGTCGGCACCAATTTGTGATCAGTGCCACACTCAGCTCCACGCAGTACACGTGTCATGCGCACTTCACGCATATCACGCTGACGTACGATGACAAAGTCGAGCAGGTGAGCGTGACCACTCCGTGGGTGCGTCCAGGTTGCTATATCACTCGCACTCAGTGCGAATCGAGTGTTCATGATTGTCAGGCCGTGAGTGGCACACAGTGAGAGCAGCCTGTCACCATTCGCATTCGCCGAACCAATGCCATGCGGCCCGAAAACATTTGCCCACACCGATGCATCACGCCCAACGCGTGCGTTGAAATTACCCAGCAGAAATAGTTGGTCGCTCCTCGGCACAGACCGTATCACGGAGGATAGCTGAGCGTAGCATCGATCACGCGTGTGATCAGGGTAACATGTGGTCGGACCGTACGTACTCATGAAAGTGGCAAACTTACCCCTTCCGAGTCGTATGCAAACAGTAACCAGTCGCGCGCGGATGCCTGTTGGTTCACCCACCAGCAGGCCTTGGAGCCGATCGAATATTGCAAATCCCATGTTCACGTGGTGCTGAGGCTGCGTTGCCCACCCAGTAGAATGTGTAGCCAGCACCTGCTTCATGCAACTTACCTTGCTCAGCGAGCCGAGTTTCACTGAGCGCCGCAATATCGATGCTGTAGCGCGCCAGTTCCATCGCGACCAGTGCAGTGCGTCGCTCAAGGCGCTCGCTGGAGTTCCGGTCCAGTAGTGTGCGCACGTTCCGGCACCCGATGCTGAGTGCTTTGCGCGCAGGCATACGATTGCATTGGTGGGCAATCGCACGCGAGGTGGTCGTTGTGCTTCGGAGCTTTGCATAAGGACTCCACCCGGAGCCTCTGGCTAAATAGCCTGATCCTCAAGGCAGTGTGGGGCTGATCAAGCTCGGGAATGTGATAGTAGAGACTGAAT